AAGACCATCAGAAAACACAGTATTTTCTGTTGGTCATGGGGTTTCTGTGTGGGATGTTTGACCCAATTCTATCATTGGTGGGGTTCAGAATGCTCTTTGATTGTAGGTGAACTATAAATCCCAGCAACTACAACTCCCAAATGTCAAGCTCTATTTTCCCCAACCTCCACCAGTGTTCACATTTGGGTATATTGAGTACTTGTGCAAAGTTTTTGGTCCAGATCCATCATTGTGTGAGTCCACAGTGCTCTCTGGATGTAGGTGAACTACAACTCCAAAACTCAAAGGCCAATGCCCACCAAACCCTTCCAGTATTTTCTGTAGGTCATGGGAGTTCCGTGTGCCAAGTTTGGTTCAATTCCATCATTGGTGAAATTCAGAATGCTCTTTGATTTTAGTTTAACTATAAATCCCAGAAACGACAACTCCCAAATGACAAAATCAATCCCCCCTCCCAACCCCACTAGTATTCAAATTTGGGCGTATCGAGTATTTGTGCCAAATTTGGTCCAGTGAATGAAAATACATCCTGCATATCAGATATTTACATTACAATTCCTAACGGTAGCAAAATTAAAATTACGAAGTAGCAACGAAAATAATGTTATGGTTGGAGGTAACCACAAGGGGTTGCTGCATTAGGAAGGTTGAGAACCACTGCTCTACTGTATGTGTTGTCGAAGGCTTTCATGGCCGGAATCACTGGGTCACTGTGAGTTTTCCGGGCTGTATGGCCATGTTCCAGAAGCATTCTCTCCTGATGTTTCACCCACATTTATGGCAGGTATCCTCAGAGGTTGTGAGGTCAGTTGGAAACTAGGCAGATGAGGTTTATATATCTGTGAAATGATGTCCAGGGTGGGAGAAAGAACTCTTGTCTGTTTGAGGCAGGTGCACATGTTGCAACTGACCACCTTGATTAGCATTGAATGGCCTTGCAGCTTCAAAGCCTGGCTGCTTCCTATCATAGATAGAGTATAAATACAGTAGTAGTAGTAGTAATAATAATAATAATAATAATAATAATAATAATAATAATAATAATAAGGTTGCTGTGAGTTTTCTGGGCTGTATGGCCATGTTCCAGGAGCATTGCCTCCTAACGTTGCACCCACATCTATGGAAGGCATCACCAGAGGTTGCGAAGTCTGTCGGAAACTAGGCAAGTGAGGTCTATATATCTGTGGAATGATGTCCAGGGTGGGGGAAAGAACAATTGTCTGTTTGAGGCAGGCATGCATTCTGAAATTGACCACCTTGATTATCACTGAATGGCCTTGCAGCTTCAAAGCCTGGCTGCTTCCTGCTTGGGGTAATCCTTTGTTGGGAGGTGTTAGTTGGCCCTGATTGTTTCATGTCCAGAATTCCCCAGTTTTCTGAGTGTTGCTCTTTATTTACCATCCTAATTTTAGAGTTTTTTGAAAATACGGGTAGGCAAAAACCATTGAAATCCATAAGCATGTGCACAATTTCAACAGAAAGGAGGAAACTATGAAAATGAACAAACTCTAGCTATTGGACTCAGATAATCCAGTTCAAAGCAGATATTGTGGATGATCTGCCTTGATATTCTGGGTTATCTGGCTGCGTGGAAGGGCCTGAAGAGCCCAATATGTGGCCAGCACCTGAAATGCTTTTATTACACCCCTTTCGGACAGATGTGAACAACAATGATCATGGAAGCCTAATTCACAAACTATTAAAATGTTCTGGAAAAGCTGCCGTGCCATTATAATAATAGTCTGGCTGCGATATTTCACAATATTTTCCATCACCAGTGCCTGGGCATGCTCTTCCCACCATGATTGCTACCATGCTGCATACTTTTCAAACAAGCCCAGATTTATGGAACTACTTTCTCTCCCTCGGACATTGAATATGCTTTGCAACAGGCCTGGGCAAACTTGGGGCCCTCCAGGTGTTTTGGACTCCAACTCCCACAATTCCTAACAGCCTACCGGCTGTTAGGAATTGTGGGAGTTGGAGTCCAAAACACCTGGAGGGCCCAAGTTTGCCCAGGCCTGCTTTACAACAACCTGACAGAGTCGACAAGGATTCAAATCGCCGCATTGCAGCCAAGGCTAGCAGAGCATGGGTCACTTAAAACCAACAGACGTGTTTGTAACAAGACTTATCATTAAACATACCTTATCATTAAACAGCATGACTTCTCTCTTTGTACAGATACATAGCATCTGCAAAAACCAGTTTAGCCATCCCTTTGACATAGAACTCTGCCTCTTCTTTCTTGCTCTCTCTCACTCTCTCTCTTTGGGGACATCTACACTGTAGGATTAATGCAGTTTGACCCTACTTTAACTGCCGTGGCTCGATGCTATGGACTCAAGGAAGCTGTCATTTGATGAGATCCCAGCACTCTTTGGTAAGGGAGGCTAAAGACCTTGCAAAACTATAACTCCCAATAATCCACAGCAAATAAGGTGGTGTCAAACTGCATTAATTCCATAGTATAGATGCACTTTTAGTCAAAAGTACAATGAAATACATCTCTTGCTGTCTCTTTCGCCCACATTCTTCCCTGTGATTAAAAAAAAGCCTTGGAAGAAACACTCTTCCAAAGTTTTCTGGGCTGTATCGCCATATTCGAGATGCATTCTCTCCTAACGTTTCACCCACATCTGGAGCATTGAATAGCCTTGCAGCTTCAAAGACTGGCTGATTCCTGCCATAGATAGCAGGGTATTATTGTTATTATTATTATTGTAAATTACGACAGCAAAACAGAGAGTAAACAATCAGGCACATCTAATCAACTCTCAACAAAAGATTCCCCCGGGCACTGCCAAGCCATCAAATGCTAATTAAGGAGGTCAGTTGAAACATTCACACCTAGCTCCAGCAGACAAGAGTCCTTTGTCCCACCCTGGTCATTCCAGAGATATATAAACCCATTTTCCTACTTCCAACAGACATCACTACCTCTGAGGATGCTTGCCATAGATGCAGGAGAAACGTCAGGAGAAAATGCCTCTAGAACATGGCCATATAACCCGGAAAAACCTACAACAACCCAGTGATTCTGGCCATGAAAGCCTTTGACAATACATTGTTGTTGTTGTTGTTGTTGTTGTTGTTGTTATATTTATACCCTGCTATCTATGGCAGGAATCAGCCAGTCTTTGAAGCTGCAAGGTCATTCAATGCTAATCAAGGTGGCCATTATTTATACCCTGCTGTCTTTGGCAGGAATCAGCCAGTCTTTGAAGCTGCAAGGCCATTCAATGCTAATCAAGGTGGCCAACTGCAACATTCACACTTGCCTCCAACAGACAAGAGTTCTTTCCACAACCTTGGACCTTCCATAGACATATAAACTTCACTTGCCTAGTTTCCTACAAAACCTCACAACCTCTGAGGATGCCTGCCATAGATGTAGGCAAAACGTCAGGACAGAATGCTTCTGGAATATGGCCAGACAGCCCAGAAAAAACTCACAGCAAGCCTATTATTATTATTATTATTATTATTATTATTATTTATACCCTGCTATTTATGGTAGGATTATTATTATTTTATTTATTTATCTTGCTATTTATGGCAGGGTTATTATTATTATTATTATTATTATTATTATTATTATTATTATTATTTATAGCCTGCTAACTATGGAAGGGTTGCTATTATTATTATTATTATTATTAATAATAATAATAATAATAATACCCATCTATCTATGGTACAGTTATTATGATTATTATTGTATGATATATAATGGCGTGCCATGCAGTCATGCTGGCCACATTTCCTTGGGGGCGTCTATGGACAATACCGGCTCTTTGGTTTAAAAATGGAGATGAGCACTACCCCCCTCCCCGCAGAGTCAGACACGACTAGATTTAATGTCGAGTGGAAACCTTTACCTATTATTATATTTATTTATACCCTTCTATCTATGGCATGAAACAGCCAGGCTTTGAAGCTGCAAGGACATTCGATGCTGGACTTAATGTCAAGTGGAAACCTTTACCTATTAATATATTTATTTATACCCTGCTATCTATGGCAGGAAACAGCCAAGCTTTGAAGCAGCAAGGCCATTTGATGCTAGACTTAATGTCAAGTGGAAACCTTTACCTATTATTACATTTATTAATCCGCTGCTATCTATGGCAGGAAACAGCCAGGCTTTGAAGCTGCAAGGCCATTCGATGCGAATCAAGGTGGCGAACTCCAACATTCACACTTGCCTCCAACAGACAAGAGTTCTTTCTCTCACCCTGGACATTTCACAGACATATAAACTCCACTTGCTTAGTTTCCAACAGACCTCTATGCAGAGACCCTCACTGATTGACTTTGCCGCTGCAAGGCCATTCAATGCTACTCAAAGCGGCCAATTGGAACATTTACACTTGCTTCAAACAGACAAGAGTTCTTTCTCCCACCCTGGACATTATTCCACATAGAAACTTCACTTGCTTATTTTCCAATATGCAGAGACCCTCACTAATTAACTTTGCAGCTGCAAGGCCATTCGATGCTACTCAAAGTGGCCAATTGGAACATGTACATTTGCCTCCAACAGACAAGAGTTCTTTCTCTCACCCTGGACATTATTCCACATACAAACCTCACTTGCCTATTTCTTAATAGCCCTCACAACCTCTGAGGATGCCTACCATAGATGTGGGAGAAATGTCAGGAGAGAATGCTTCCAGAACCTAGCCATACAGTCCAGGAAACTCACAGCAACACAGTGATTCCTGCCATGAAAGCCTTTGACAATGCAACACACATCACTCATCTGTATGAAACGCCTGCAAATATTAATTAAGGCTAAATTACCATTTGGGGTTTTGACTAGGTGCATTCTCAAGCTGTGTAGGAAGGTGGGAGGGTTCACTTTGACCCTAAAATACAATTTCCTAGCTGCATCAGCCACATCAGAACATATTGCATTAATTGCAATACAGAATTAAGCACATATTGCATTAATTTCAAAGAAATATTTATTATTATTATTATTATTCTTTGTTTACCTGAATCCAGGGGGACTCCCATAGCTGGGGGTTCTTTCTCTTCCTCTCCAAAAATCAGCTTGAACTCCAGATCTTCATCTTCACAGTTGGCTGCTCCCATCCTGAGGTCTTCTTTCTTCCCCCAAGAAGTGGGGGAAATGGGGCAATGGAACCTAAGGGAGTGATCCACTTTGGTGTCTTGACCTTCCCCCACCAAAAATTGAAATTGGGGACCAGGAGAGGTTCTAAKGCCTCCTTCTCCTCCTCCTCCTCCTCCTCCTCCTGCCTTTAATATTTAAATAAAAGTTTCAGGAGAGAGAGGAGGGGCGAGTTGGGAAAACTTTYCCCTCTCCTCCAAGGGCTCCCCCCTCCCTCCCTCTCTGCTGCTCCCTCCTGATTGGCTGGGTTCTCAAATAGGAAGCCAAACCATGCCCCCATATGTCAAATTAAGCCCCGCCCACTTAGGGAGGGGGAAGTGTGGGATGAGGAGGGGGGGGAAGAATGCGAATTGGGCTGTTCTAACAGGAAGGAGGAGAGGAGGAGGAGGAAAAAGGAATCTCGTCCTCCCCCCTTTTTCTCCTTCCGAATGGAACAGCCCACCTGGAGCCTCATTGGGCGGTGGCTTTCAAAGCCACACCCACCTCTGGGGGGGGGRATAAAGCCACGCCCACTTTGGTATAAAAGCCTTGAAGCTGGCAGGCAGATCTATACTAAAGAGTGATATATTATAGTATTACAACATATATTATATTATAATATTGTAATATAATATAATAACATAGTATGATATAGTATATACTATAATATAATATTATGTTATATATTATAATATATATATTGTAATATAATAACATAGTATGATATAGCATATACTATAGTATAATATGTTATACATTATAATTTATATATATATATTGTTATATTGTAATATATACTAACATAGTATGATATAGTCTATACTATAGTGTAATATTATGTTATATATTATAATTTTTATATATATATATAATATTTGAATATAATGTAATAACATAGTATGATATAGTCTATACTATGGTATAATATTATGTTATATATTATAATTTATATATATATATATTATAATATTTGAATATAACTTAATAACATAGTATGATATAGTATATACTATAAAGGTAAGGTAAAGGTTTTCCCCTGACATTAATTCCAGTCATGTCTGACTCTGGGGTGTGGTGCTCATCTCCATTTCTAAGCCGAAGAGCCAGTGTTGTCCGTAGACACCTGCAAGGTCATGTGGCCGGCATGACTGCATGGAGCGCCATTATATATAATTTATATATAATAAAAAGCAATGGTATTCCCCATAGTAACCTATGGATGTAAGAGCTGGACCATAGGGAAGGCTGAGCAAAGGAAGATAGATGCTTTTGAACTGTAGTATTGGAGGAGCCTTCTAATCAAGGTGAAAGAAGAAAGTGCAAAAGCTGAGTTGCAGTTAAACATTAAAAAAAAAACCAAGATTATGGCAACAAGAATGATTGACAACTGGGAAATAGAGGGAGAAAACGTGGAGGCAGTGACAGACTTTGTATTTCTAGGTGCAAATGTTACTGCAGACATGAACTGCAGCCAGGAAATCAGGAGATGCTTACTTCTTGGGAGGAGAGCAATGACCAATCTTGATAAAATAGTGAAGAGTAGAGACATCACACTGGCAACAAAGATCCGCCTAGTCAAAGCCATGGTATTCCCCATAATCACCTACGGATGTGAGAGCTGGACCATAGGGAAGACTGAGCAAAGGAAAATAGATGCTTTTGAGCTGTGGTGTTGGAGGAAAGTTCTGAGAGTGCCTTGGACTGCGAGAAGATCCAACCAGTCCATCCTCCAGGAAATAAAGCCCAACTGCTCATTGGAGGGAAGGATACTAGAGACAAAGATGAAGTACTTTGGCCACATCATGACAAGAAAGGAAAGCTTAGAGAAGACAATGATGCTGGGAAAAAATGGAAGGAAAAAGGAAGAGGGGGCAAGATGGATGGATGGGATCCTTGAAGTGACCGGATTGACCTTGAAGGAGCTGGGGGTGGTGACGACCGACAGGGAGCTCTGGCGTGGACTGGTCCATGAAGTCACGAAGAGTCAGAAATGACTGAACGAATGAACAACAACAACAACAGGGTGCACCTAAAATGTAGAATTAATAGTTTGACATAACTTTATCTACTATAGCTCACTGCTGTGGAATCATTGGAATTGTAGTTTTCCAATGTCTTTAGCTTGCTCTGCTAAAGAGTGTCGTTTCCTAACCAAACTACAGATAGATCCCAGCATTGAGCCATAGCGATTAAGCGGCTGAGGGGGAAAAGGAAAGGGCCTGAGGCTGTTAGGAATTGTGGGAATTGAAGTCCAAAACACCCGGAGGGCCCAAGCTTGCCTATGCCTGGCATAGAGCCATGACAGCTAAAGGGACATCAAGCTGCATCCATCCTACAGTGCAGATGCACCTTGGTTTAGAGATCAGGAAAAAACGAGTGAGAGGAAATATCCAAGATCTAATTTCCCCAGTCGAGCATCCTCAGACAAATTGGGCACATGTTCCTTATTATAGGGGAGGTCCTCCATTTGTGTGGTGTGGAGCTTTTCCTTTTATGTGCGCTAAACTAGATACAAAAATAAATGTTATTATTTCAGAGTCTGGGCTCTCTATAAAGACCAAAATGTGTGTGTCACTTAATTGACAAATGCAGACAATATGTTAACTTTAACAGAGAACTATATGGGTAGGTTAATTGATGTTAGAACTATTATTTTGGCATTTGGGGCAGAACGCAAGCGGGCCTCGGCTCTAAGACACCCCTTCTTCTTCCCTGTGGACACCAAAACCCATGGATGCACAAGTCCCATTATGTACAATGGCATAGAAAAACAGTGCCCCCTATATAAAAGGGCAAAGACAAGGGTTACTTTTTCAAATTGAGGAAAAATGCATATTTTCAAGCTGTGGATGGTTGAATCTATGGATTTGATTAGAGCAATGCTTCTCAACTTGGAGGTCAGAACCCCTGTGGGGGTCACAAGGGGGTTTCAGAGGGGTCGCCAAGACCACCAGAAAGCACTTATTTCTGATGGTATTAGGAACCCCTTTGGCAGAGAAAGCTGAAGATCTCTCCGCCTGTACTTCTCTTCCTTTTTTTGGTGTTAGTGAACTACAACTCCCAGAATTCAAAAACACCCCCCTCCCAAACCCCACCAGTATTCAGTGTTGGCCATGTAGGTAATGTGCCAAGTTTGGTGCAGTAAGATTGTGGGCTGAGTTCAGAGCGCTCTTTGACTGTAGGTTAACTTTAAATCCCAGCAACTACAACTCCCAAATGTCAAGGTCTATTTTCCCCAATCTCCACCAGTGTTCACATTTGGACATATTAAGTATCCGTGCCACGTTTGGTCCAGATCCATCATTGTTTGAGTCCACAATGCTCTCTGGATGTAGGTAAACTACAACTCCAAAACTCAAGGTCAATGCCCACCAAACTGTTCCTATTGGTCATGGGAGTCCTGTATGCCAAGTTTTATTCAATTCCATTGTTGGTGGAATTCAGAATGCTCTTTGATTGCAGGTGAACTATGAATCCCAGCAACTACAACTCCCAAATGTCAAGGCCTGTTTTCCCCAAACTCCACCAGTGTTCACATTTGGGCATATTGAGTATTCATGCCAAGTTTGGTCCAGATGTATCATTAATTGAGTCCACAGTGCTCTGGATGCAGGTAAACTACAACTCCAAAACTCAAGGTCAGTGCCCACCAAACTGTTTCTGTTGGTCATGGGAGTACTGTATGCCAAATTTGATTCAATTCCATTGTTGGTGGTGGAGTTCAGAATGCTCTTTGATTGCAGGTGAACTATAAATCCCAGCAACTACAACTCCCAAATGACAAAATCAATCCCCACCCCCAACCTCACCAGTATTCAAATTTGGACATATTGGGTGCCAAATGTAGTCCAGTGAATGAAAATAGTACATCTTGCATTATCAGATTAACAGTAGCAAAATTACAGTTATGAAGTAGCAACGAAAATAATGTTATGGTTGGGGGTCACCACAACATGAGGGACTGTATTAAGGGGTCGTGGCATTAGGAAGACTGAGAAAAATTGTGTTAGAAGATAGAAACAGATATTTTACATGATAGTGGGACGATAGCTAATCTTGCCCTTAATATGACCGGGTTGGAAAGTGTGATTTTAAAGTGGGAGTGTAGTTTGGGTGGGCAGCAGGAGGCGAAAGACCTTGTGAAACTACAAAATCCATGCTTCCATATCCTTGACCCATGGCAGTTCAAGTGATGTCAAACTGCATTCGTTCTACAGTGTAGATGCGCCCTGGGGGAGCAATGGGCCAGCTGTTTCTCTGTGGAAAGCGGGTGACGTGCCTGTCTTTGGAGAGCTTGCCAATGACCCTCTCTGGAGAGTCAGACTGGTCCCTTTGGTGCAGCGGCATTTGGTGCCGCAACGGGAAGGCAGACAGTAGGACTCTCCAAAGAGCCAGCCTGGCTGCTGCTTGGCTATGGGGTAGTTGCCACAGACAGAAAGGGGCCAGCCCAATGAGAGTCTCTGGAGCAAGAGCGGAAAGGGCGGCCAGACTCTTTGGAGACCCCACCCAGCTGTTCCCCAGCTGCAGAGCAGCCACCAAGGCAACCGCCTCTCAAGCACAACTGCCTGAGGCCGGGTTCGTTGCCTTGCCTCACTGGAGGGCAAGCACTAAACATCGTACTTTAAGCACCAATGTTCACTTTGCTGGATTTTGTCTTGGAGTTTGTTGATGCAGCAAATTCAGGGACCTGGTCATCTTGTATGGAGCAATATGGACATCATCCTCCCTGAAAATGTTGAAGCTGAAGAATCTGTATTATGCATCGTCAAAGGCTTTCACAGCCAGAATCACTAGGGTGTTGTGTGATTTTCGGGCTGTGTGGCTGTCTTCTAGCAGCATTTTCTCCTGACGTTTCACCTGCATCTGTGGCTGGCATCTTCAGATCCTCTGAAGATGTTAACAACAGATGCAGGAGAAATGTCAGGAGAAAATGCTGCTAGAAGATGACCTTGCAGTCGAAAACCACACAACATCCCAATCTGTATTATGTTTCTACTGGATGTTCCCTGTCATGAGATGTGGGGCAGAGTGCAATATGTTGTCAAAGGCTTTCATGGCTGGAATCACTGGGTTGCTGTGAGTTTTCTGGGCTGTATGGCTATGTTCCAGAAGCATTCTCTCCTGATGTTTCA